ATACAGAAGTGCTATAAAATAGGGTTATTATAGGGATACTATGGATTAGAGGGTCAAAATTGAAAAATTTTAAAAAACAAAAAAATGGTGAAACAGTAATATCTCATCGTGATAAGTGTTTCTGGAGTGGGCCCTTGCAGAATGGACAAATGCCCCCTGATCCCCTAGGCTGACTGGCATAAAGCCTGGGTGCTGATGTAGACTTTTCTTGGCCACACTGACCAAGAAGCAGTGCCCCTGAAGGATTGTCTAGAGGTGTTGTGTGTGCAACGCTTTGGCATGCTCCAGGGCAGATAGTCAGCATATTCATCATAAATAGTATTTCTTAAATTTTGTTTTCATCAGGATTAAAATCACCAATTAAATCTTCCAAGGAGGACAGTAAAGAAAAATAATCTTGAGTAACTGCTAATAGAAGTTTGATGTAAACTGACAACTTAAAAATGAAAGGTTCCGGGGCGCCTGGATGGCTTAGTCAGTTAAGCGTCTGACTTTCGCTTAGGTCATGATCTCGCGGTTCATGGGTTCGCGCCCCGCGTCGGGCTCTGTGCTGACTGCCAGCTCAGAGCCTGGAGCCTGTTTTGGAGTCTGTGACTCCCTCTCTCTCTGACCCTCCCCTGCTCACGCTGTCTCTCTCTCTCTCTCTCCTAGAAATAAATAAAAAACATTAAAAAAAATTTTTTTTAAAAATGAAAGGTTTCTATCTCCCAAACTTTTGTACAGCCTGACAAATTGGAATTTAGGGTGGAATTTTGTACAGTTAAATCATGGTGTATGCATGTGGTCAGCGCTGTGCTTCTTTCAAGTGGTCCTGTTTATTTTAAAAACTTGAAAATGAGAAGGGGTTTTTTTGTTTTGTTTTGTTTTTGTTTTTGGCTCACTCAGTTGAGGTTTGTTGTAAAACTCAGATGCCCAAAAAAGAAAGTACTGTTTTGTGCTGTGCATGAAGTGGACCACGAGTGAACCAGAGGAGGGATGAGCCTGGTGCTTTTGTCCTTCTGCCCACAGAACACAAGCCCGAAAGGCCAGCAGATGACATTTGTGGAGGTCTGGGGTGATGAGGGCCTTGAATGAAGGCGCTGCGTGTAATGTCAAACACAGTGACACCAAGCATATGTTTTCACTCTGATTCCTTAGTGGTAATAAAGGCAATGCTAGAAAAAAACAAAAATCTGGAGAGAAGAATGGAAATCATGCTGTGTTGGTAGATGACATTTGCTGTAAGGGGGTCAATTTGACAACAATGGGAAAAAATTGTTGTTTTGCTCTGGTCTGTGCAATATAGCTTCATGAGTGAAGTCTTCATTCTCAGGCAGGGCTACCCCAGGAGTAGAGAGGGCAGTAATGTAGCGTCAGCATCAGCTGAATGAGTCACACAGTCCCATGTGGTAGGTTAGAGCCAACAGCCATGGAGTCATGGAGCTATTGCCCAGGCAGAGCCTACATTGAGGGTGAGCCCCCCTTGTCTACAGATGAGGAAATGACGGTGCCCAGAGAGACCACACGACTTGTCAAAACTCACATAGTTAGTTTGTGACAAGGGACAGACAACTTTTTCAGGAAAGTGAAAATTTAACCACAGAAAGAATTCTTGGAAAATTATCCTAGCCTGCCAGGTTAGTTTGTTTTTTAACTGTGACCTACATTCTTCTAAGTGCAGCTCAGTTATCATCTCCAAAATCTTCCAGAACCTCCTGGACCACCTGGCCCCTCTCTTCCATAGCTCTTGTTAGATTTTGTGGAAATTATCTGGTCAGGTTTTTGTTTATAAATCCTTCACGTACGTTCATCTTTATAGTCTATTTGGTTTCATCCCTCTCTGTACTTTATAGGAAGTACATCTGTTTGTGGAACAGATTTTTCATAATGTCCCTATAGCAATGCTCCATTTTAGTGGGGGTGATGAGCCTGGGCAAGCGCTGCTTCGGGAGGTTGTGGCAAGTTTGAGCAGATAGTCTAAGGGCATTTAAATTATCTGACGGTGGAAAGCTGTTCTGAGCCAGGCTGACACTACTAAACAAGCGTGCATGGAGTGGAGGGGTACATTACTGATGCCAGTGTGATGGCCAGCTGGGGACAAACAAGGGGCCCTTTGTTCCGCTGGTGCCAAAGACTTTATATGAGTGAGAATGGAATGACCTTAATGAACCTTAAATGGTGCCCCTGGACAAATAGGGACTGAAGCTTTAATGTTAGTGAGATTCCAAGTCTGATTCACTTTCTAAATTTACTTGTTCTATTAACAAATATATCAAAACAAAGAACAAGTGTAGAGAATATTATTTTGAACATCTGTGTACCCACCGGTCAGCTTTATTAAACCTTAGCTTTTTGGTATCCTCCCTACCCAGAGGCTTCTATTACAAATTTAGTGCTCAATACTCTGAGATTTCTAAATTTGACTCTTTGGGGTCTCCCTCAATGCAAGGGCCTCTGTGTAATGTGGTGGGATCTGGGTCTTTTGGCAATAAAGAGGCACAGTGAGACCATTGTATAGATTCAGAATGTGGCCGTGAGAGTGGACTCCAGAGCCAGGGTCCCTCAGACCTCAGGTTTCTGACTAGTCGTTATTTCCCCAAGGGATGAGGAGAGATAGTGGCTCCAGCAAGTCACTTGTTAAGGTGAACCTCAAACAGACATGGCTTGAGGAAATCTATGGTTTAAGGGTAGTGCTTTTCAGTCTTTTTTGATGGTAACCCACAATACCAAATGACATTACAATGTACGTTGCAGATTGCGTTGTGACCCTCAGCATATGCACCTGTCCATCTATAACACAGAACACATACCTGTGAATGAAAGTTTCCATGAAATAATACTCCTCCTTTGTTAGATGCACTGCACTGTAGTTTATTTAGTTGTTTTTACAAAATCTGTTTCATTCCAGTAAGTTGATTTCAAGGGCCGTTTGTAGATAGGAACTCATAGTTTAAAACAACAATGAGCCCTGGTTTAGAGAACTGTTACTTGTCTCCTGGAGCAAACTTTTTTAAACAGTATATTTAGTTTAACTCTGCTGAACATTTTATAGAAAGCTTTTATCAGTCACTGACCTAAACTTAAAGATTTATTTCACAATTTACTAATAGAAATCCCATTGTAAACTAAAGCAGAATTCAAAGCTTGTTGCTAGTTCAGATTATTCTACATCGTGTTACGTCTCTTTGAAGCTCCTAATCTTCAGCCATTGTTTTAAGGCAGCCTGTCTTGATTAAGTAAACAGAACGAGAACATAGTGACTTAACTATATTTTATAAATTCATGACTGTTAAGCCACAAAATCAACCTTTCAAAATAAAACCAGGTGTAAGTCAAACTGCCAAATGAAAAAACCCAGCTATCAAGCCCGAAGTCTCCTTCCCATTATCACTCACCTCTATACACTGCTAAATAAAGTCTATATATGGAATAAAGTGATGCAGGTGTTGCTTTATATTTACTAAACTCATCAGTTTTCATGTAGCCAGGCTGACATCCTCCTCACATGGGGCACCTGATAATTATCACAATAGCAAGGGTTTATGTAGCACCTTCGTTGGGAGAAGTTTATATAATTCACAAAGGTACAGTTTCCCTTCAGGGAAGTGGAGAAGAAAATGATATTTAATTCCTACTAAACAAGCGATTGTTGGAGATGTTGAGCTAGACTGACTCTAGAATACTGAGTTTGTTTGTTCTAGAATGTTACCAACGGACACTTTAAACATTAATAAGATAGCTGGTTTCTAAAATCTGGAGGAAGGAGAGGTTTTGTTTAAGCCAAGTGTTTCGCAGAGGAGGAAATGTAGTTTGACCTCAGGAAATTTAAATGGGACTGTTGAATAACTGGGAAAGAATGTCTCCTCTGGATGACAGGGCAAAGAAGAATTCAACGGATTTTCAGGCAGAATAACAAATGTGACAGCAATACCTTTTTGTATCCACATTTACGTACCTTGACTATATGTAACTTCTAAAAAAGCAGTTCTCAAACTTTTTGGTCTCATGACTCTTTTCTACTCTTAAGAATTATTGAGAATTCTTTATTTGTGTATGTGGTTCTTTGTGTATGTGGCTTATGTCTATCAAATATTTACCATTTTGGGAATTAAGACTGAGAAAGTTAAATTATTCATTAAAAGAGAATGATACACTCATTATATGTTAGCATAAACATTTTTATCTAAAAAACTATATCTAAAAAGAATTACTGAAAAGGTTGTTATTATTTTATATCTCTGTAAATCCCTTTAGTTGCCTGGTTAATAGATGACACTTGGAATTCTCTTCTCTTGTTTCTGCATATAATCTGTTGTGATATATTTTTTACGTTGAACTACATGAAGAAAATCTAGCACACACAGATACGTAGTTGGAAAAGAGAGAACGTTGCAGCCCCCTGAAAGGAACTCTGAGACTCCCAGGAGTCCTTGGGTCACAGTTTGAGAACCACTGTCCCTGTAAAGTAGTCTGGAAGAATATATATAAATGGTGAGATTATTAGTGCCCTAATTTTTTTATTGCATGTGTATATTCTTTCAGCAGTGATGTTGGATTACTTGCACAAACTGTAATTGAGAAAGGGAGAGGCATGGGCACATTGAGGGAGCATTACAGAGGCCCTCAAATCCAGGCAGAGGAGTTTATACTTGGGAAACTAAAGGAGCCATTGTAAGTACGAAAGTGACTCATTAAAAATTGCATTTTGGGAGTAAATGGATTAGAATTGGAAGAGAGGAGCTACTTCAGAACTTGTTGCAGTAATCCAGGTATGGTGAGGTGGGCTAGGCCTCAGATACTGGTAGAGATGGAGAGGAAGTTTCAAATTCTAGAAGACATTTTGAAGGCAGAATCACCAAGACTTGGGTAAGGGATAATGGCAAGGGAAGAGCCAAGGATGACTACGAGTTTTCAAGTCTGAAACATTTGAAGGGTATTTTCTTCCTTATATCCAACCTTTAATTTTTTTTCTGAAAATTATCCTGATTAAGCTAATCAGAGTGTTTTGTCTTGTTTTTCAGACTTGGCCAGCCTGTTCTAGGGCCTGGCAGAAAGTCAACACAGTCCCCAACCTGAACCGGTCAGTTACTTCTAGAAGAAGAGGAAGACCTATGACATCCTTGAAGAGTTACTTGCTGCATACTTCCCTCAGGCCCTGCGGGCAATAAAGGGCTATCTGTTCAGGTCCTCTCTGCACTGGACACCTGCGGTTCACCTCTTATGCACTCCAGCACCCCCATCAGCTCCCTCTTCTCCTTCACCAGCCCAGCAGTGAAGAGACTGCTAGGCTGGAAGCAAGGAGATGAAGAGGAAAAGTGGGCAGAGAAAGCAGTAGACTCTTTAGTGAAGAAATTAAAGAAAAAGAAAGGAGCCATGGATGAGCTGGAGAGGGCCCTCAGCTGTCCGGGGCAGCCCAGCAAATGTGTGACAATCCCCAGGTCCCTAGATGGGCGGCTGCAGGTGTCTCACCGCAAGGGGCTGCCCCATGTCATTTACTGCCGAGTGTGGCGCTGGCCTGACCTGCAGTCCCACCACGAGTTGAAGCCGCTGGAATGCTGTGAGTTCCCATTTGGCTCCAAGCAGAAAGAGGTGTGCATTAACCCCTATCACTACCGCCGGGTGGAGACGCCAGGTGAGATTTCTTCCTGATATCATGGTTTATTTGAAAAGTTAAGGAGCCTTGTCCCACTTGAGTGATGGGGCATCAGCAAGACAAGCCCCATCTTCCATCACCAAAGGAAAAGGAAGAGAGGGGGGTTCGAATCTAAGGAAGTAATCTAAACTTTTATAGTCAGAAAAATCTAGAAAAAAGGTACTTGCAGTATACATATAAGTTTTTTGAGGTTTTGAAACATGAAGTTTTGTTTTGATGTATTTTGGGGTTATCATCATCGTGTTTTTCCAGTTCTTGGGGTCTTTGAAGGTCTTAATATGGACTTGCTATGATTAACAGTAAAACATGAACATCCTGGGGCTCCTGAGTAACTCAGTCCGTTAAGTGTCCGACTCTTGATTTCAGCTCAAGTCATGATTTCATGGTTTGTGAGATCAAGCCCCCAGTCAGGCCATGCACTGACAGCGCAGAGCCTGCTAGGGATCTTTCTTTCCCCCTCTTTCTCTGCCCCACCTCTGTTTGTCTCTCTCTCTCTAAGTAAATAAATACACTTTAAAAAAAAAAGGAATATCCTCCTTCCCATCCTCTCTCCCTCAACGAAACTGTGAACTAAACCGAAGAAGGTTTTTGCTGCCACTTTTTCCAAGCTCAGGTATGTGGAAGTATCTCATATCTGAGATATGAGATACTGTTCTGAAAACAGCCAGTGAAAGAATTGCTAGAAATCCTTCTAGAACTGAAAGCAACACGGGCTGGAAGAGATTAACAGTTGTTCTTTTATATATATATATATATATATATATTTTTTTTTTTAATGCTTTATTTATTTCTGAGAGAGAGAGAGACAGCATGAGCAGGGGAGGGTCAGAGAGAGAGGGAGACACAGAGTCTGAAACAGGCTCCAGGCTCTGAGCTGGAGAGCCCAACGTGGGGCTCGAACCCACAGACTGTGAGATCATGACCTGAGCCGAAGTCGGACACTTAACTGACTGAGGCACCTAAGTGCCACAGCAATTTTTCTTAAATACAGCTTTAAGCTTAAGAAAGTACTGTTCTAAAACTCTTCACATACCCATGTGTGTGTGTGTGTTTGTGTGTGTATGTGTACATATATTTCACCCCCTTTATGAAGTCTGATATTTACCCTTGCCCTTCGCACTGGCTGTAGCAGTTTGACTACACTTCCCTTTGGATGGAGTGTTCCTGTGGCTGTAGGGCTACAGTTTTCTTTCTTTTTTTTTTTTAATTTTTTTATGTTTTATTTATTTCTGAGCAGAGGAGAGAGAGAGAGACAATTTGAGCAGGGGAGGGTCAGAGAGAGAGGGAGATACAGAATCCAAAGCAGGCTCCAGGCTCTGAGCTTGTTGTCAGCACAGAGCCCAACACGGGGCTCGAACCCACGAACCGTGAGATCATGACCTGAGCTGAAGTCGGATGTTTAACCGACTGATCCACCCAGGTGCCCCCAGGGCTACAGTTTTCATAGCTTCCTGTCCCTCACTGGCCACCTGTCTCATTCTGGGAGAGCAGAGGGCTGGCACGTGAGCTCTGCAAAATGGCTCATGTCCATTAAGAGATGGTTGTGTCTAGGGGCGCTTGGGTGGCTCAGTTGGTTGAGCGTCTGACTTAGGCTCAGGTTGTGATCTCACGGTTCTTGAGTTCAAGCCCCGAGTCAGGCTGTCTGCTGTCAGCATGAAGCCTGTTTTAGATCCTCTCTCCTCTTTTCTTTGCCCCTGCTCCCCTGCTTGTACTCTCTCTCTCTCTGAAAAATACATAAACATTAAAAAAGAGAGAGAGAGAGTTGGTTGTGTTTAGGCAGGCCTGGCTCTCGGGTTCCGTTAACCTTATGGCTGGAGAAGTGCCCAGCCTACAGTGGTTTGAGTTAGGCAACCTTTCAGGCTCCCAAATCTTGCCGTCGTGTTGTAAAACTATGGTCAGGGAAGTCACCCTGCATGCGGATGCTTCTCACAGTTTCGTCATCCTGGGTTTGAGTGACTCCCTGTAGAAGACTGTCGAGAAAGCCCTGGCGATTCTGCTATGTTTTGACTAGATGACATAGGTCTTAGCTTTCTTCCCTTCTTTCCTGCTTCTCTCTGGGCTCTTTCTGTATACAAAAAGGAAGGGAGGGAGGCAGGGAGGGAAGGAAGGAAGAAGGAAGGACGGAAGAAAGAAAGAAAGAAGGAAGGAAGGAAGGAAGGAAGGAAGGAAGGAAGGAAGGAAGGAAAGGGAGACAGGGATGAAGGAAGGAAGGAAGGGAAGAAAGAAGAAAGGAAGGGAGGGAGGGAAGGAAGGAAGAGAAAGGGAGGGAGGAAGAAAAGAAGGAAAGGGAGAGAGGGTTGAAGGAAGGAAGGGAAGAAAGAAGAAAGGAAGGGAGGGAGGGAAGGAAGGAAGAGAAAGAAAGAAAAA